TGCAACTTAATAGGGTTTTTTCATGTAAACCAGTATAATGCAACTTAATAGGGGTTTTTTCCATGTAAACCAGTATAATGCAACTTAATAGGGTTTTTCATGTACATGTAAAATAGGGTTTTCATGTAAACCAGTATAATGCAACTTAATAGGGTTTTTTCCATGTAAACCAGTATAATGCAACTTAATAGGGTTTTTTCCATGTAAACCAGTACAATGCAACTTAATAGGGATTTTTCCATGTAAACCAGTATAATGCAACTTAATGGGGATTTTTCCATGTAAACCAGTATAATGCAACTTAATGGGGATTTTTCCATGTAAACCAGTATTATGCAACTTAATAGGGATTTTTCCATGTAAACCAGTATAATGCAACTTAATAGGGATTTTTCCATGTAAACCAGTATAATGCAACTTAATGGGGATTTTTCCATGTAAACCAGTATTATGCAACTTAATAGGGGTTTTTACATGTAAACCAGTATAATGGAACTTAATAGGGTTTTTTACATGTAAACCAGTATAATGCAACTTAATAGGGATTTTTACATGTAAACCAGTATAATGCAACTTAATAGGGTTTTTTCCATGTAAACCAGTATAATGCAACTTAATAGGGTTTTTTACATGTAAACCAGTATAATGCAACTTAATAAGGATTTTTACATGTAAACCACTATAATGTAACCTAATAGGGGTTTTTACATGTAAACCAGTATAAAGCAACTTAATAGGGATTTGTACATGTAAACCAGTATAATGCAACCTAATAGGGATTTTTCCATGTAAACCAGTATAATGCAACTTAATAGGGATTTTTCCATGTAAACCAGTATAATGCAACTTAATAGGGATTTTTCCATGTAAACCAGTATAATGCAACTTAATAGGGATTTTTCCATGTAAACCAGTATAATGCAACTTAATAGGGTTTTTTCATGTAAACCAGTATAATGCAACTTAATAGGGTTTTTTTTCATGTAAACCAGTATAATGCAACTTAATGGGGATTTTTCCATGTAAACCAGTATAATGCAACTTAATAGGGGTTTTTACATGTAAACCAGTATAATGCAACTTAATAGGGTTTTTTCCATGTAAACCAGTATAATGCAACTTAATAGGGTTTTTTCCATGTAAACCAGTACAATGCAACTTAATAGGGATTTTTCCATGTAAACCAGTATAATGCAACTTAATGGGGATTTTTCCATGTAAACCAGTATAATGCAACTTAATGGGGATTTTTCCATGTAAACCAGTATTATGCAACTTAATAGGGATTTTTCCATGTAAACCAGTATAATGCAACTTAATAGGGATTTTTCCATGTAAACCAGTATAATGCAACTTAATGGGGATTTTTCCATGTAAACCAGTATTATGCAACTTAATAGGGATTTTTCCATGTAAACCAGTATAATGCAACTTAATAGGGTTTTTTTCATGTAAACCAGTATAATGCAACTTAATAGGGTTTTTACATGTAAACCAGTATAATGGAACTTAATAGGGGTTTTTACATGTAAACCAGTATAATGGAACTTAATAGGGGTTTTTACATGTAAACCAGTATAATGCAACTTAATAAGGATTTTTACATGTAAACCACTATAATGTAACCTAATAGGGGTTTTTACATGTAAACCAGTATAAAGCAACTTAATAGGGATTTGTACATGTAAACCAGTATAATGCAACCTAATAGGGATTTTTCCATGTAAACCAGTATAATGCAACTTAATAGGGATTTTTCCATGTAAACCAGTATAATGCAACTTAATAGGGATTTTTCCATGTAAACCAGTATAATGCAACTTAATAGGGATTTTTCCATGTAAACCAGTATAATGCAACTTAATAGGGATTTTTCCATGTAAACCAGTATAATGCAACTTAATAGGGATTTTTCCATGTAAACCAGTATAATGCAACTTAATAGGGGTTTTTACATGTAAACCAGTATAATGCAACTTAATAGGGTTTTTTTCATGTAAACCAGTATAATGCAACTTAATAGGGATTTTTCCATGTAAACCAGTACAATGCAACTTAATAGGGATTTTTCCATGTAAACCAGTATAATGCAACTTAATAGGGTTTTTTTCATGTAAACCAGTATAATGCAACTTAATGGAGATTTTTCCATGTAAACCAGTATTATGCAACTTAATAGGGATTTTTCCATGTAAACCAGTATAATGCAACTTAATAGGGTTTTTTTCATGTAAACCAGTATAATGCAACTTAATAGGGTTTTTTTTCATGTAAACCAGTATAATGCAACTTAATGGGGATTTTTCCATGTAAACCAGTATAATGCAACTTAATAGGGTTTTTTTTTACATGTAAACCAGTATAATGGAACTTAATAGGGGTTTTTCCATGTAAACCAGTACAATGCAACTTAATAGGGATTTTTCCATGTAAACCAGTATAATGCAACTTAATAGGGTTTTTTTCATGTAAACCAGTATAATGCAACTTAATAGGGTTTTTTTCATGTAAACCAGTATAATGCAACTTAATGTGGATTTTTCCATGTAAACCAGTATAATGCAACTTAATAGGGATTTTTCCATGTAAACCAGTATAATGCAACTTAATAGGGATTTTTCCATGTAAACCAGTATAATGCAACTTAATAGGGATTTTTCCATGTAAACCAGTATAATGCAACTTAATAGGGGTTTTTACATGTAAACCAGTATAATGCAACTTAATAGGGTTTTTTTCATGTAAACCAGTATAATGCAACTTAATAGGGATTTTTCCATGTAAACCAGTACAATGCAACTTAATAGGGATTTTTCCATGTAAACCAGTATAATGCAACTTAATAGGGTTTTTTTCATGTAAACCAGTATAATGCAACTTAATGGGGATTTTTCCATGTAAACCAGTATTATGCAACTTAATAGGGATTTTTCCATGTAAACCAGTATAATGCAACTTAATAGGGTTTTTTTCATGTTAACCAGTATAATGCAACTTAATAGGGTTTTTTTCATGTAAACCAGTATAATGCAACTTAATAGGGTTTTTTCATGTAAACCAGTATAATGCAACTTAATAGGGATTTTTCCATGTAAACCAGTACAATGCAACTTAATAGGGATTTTTCCATGTAAACCAGTATAATGCAACTTAATAGGGATTTTTCCATGTAAACCAGTATAATGCAACTTAATGGGGATTTTTCCATGTAAACCAGTATTATGCAACTTAATAGGGATTTTTCCATGTAAACCAGTATAATGCAACTTAATAGGGTTTTTTCATGTATAATGCAACCTAATAGGTTGCATTATACCACCAGACCAAGACCCAAACGAAGACTCAGACCACCACCAGATAATGACCACAGACCAGGTTTCCTTAGTTACAGGAACCAAATTGTTTCAGCGGTGAGGGGATTTTTCAGTTTCAAGGACACTTTCAATACATTCAGTAGTTTCAAGGATTTCAGCTGTTTAAGAATTTAACCAGTTTCAAGGATATCAGGAGGTTCAAGGATTTCAGGAGTTTCCACACTTTCAACAGTTTCCAGGTTTAAAAAAGTTTCAAGGATTTCAGGAGTTTCAATGTTTCAACAGTTTCAAGGATTTCAGGAGTTTAAAGGTTTCAACAATTTCAAGGACTTCAGGAGTTTCAAATATCTATCAAGTATTTTAACAGTTTCAAGGCTTTTTAAAGGATTTCAAGGATTTTTTTTAGCAGATTTCCACATTAGATCTGTTCCGCAGTCAATCGCAATGGCTTCAGCCATTGCAAGTTTCTAGTTAACAATTGTAAACCGCTTTGAGACTCAGATCTGCAGTGAAAAGGCGGTATATAAATAAAAAACTTACTAACTTACTGATAAATACCTTCAAAATACAGTTTGTGGATCAGAACATTTGATCAATTAGAATTAGATCTTGTTACAATTACATTCAGCCATTGTTGCAGTGTGAACAAAATCAGGGGGAACTTGGTTGTTCCTCTGATGAAATAGTAACTGTGATAATTGAACTAGTTGGTACTAGTATGTGCAATCTTTCCATGTTTCCATGACAGTTTAGTATGAGTCAGGTTTGTAGGGACCCTGTTCCCTGTTCAGTCAGGACACTTGTTTTAATATATTTCTGTAATAGTATGAGATTTGTTCCACGGTACTACATGTCAATGGGACAAATTTAATACAAATCAGACCTCAACATGCTGTCTCCATCTTATTACTTATTACTCACTCAAGCATACAGTACTTATTGCAATACAAATTTAAGTCTATATGTTCTCAAATAACGAGAACATATTTAATCAAGTTAATGTTTTTGTCTTTTTGAGCTGTATATTTGACAAACTTTGTGCATTTTGATTCTAAAATTGCTTAGAAGAAGATTGGATGATTATGTTTTTTGATAAACTTAATTAACTTTTGGCTCAAAGAATAGAATTTAAAGCAGCTCTGCTTGTGTATAAGTCTGTCCATGACCTCGAACCAAAGTACACCTGAGACAGTCCCATATGAACCAACTCTGACTCTGAGGAGCACATGGACTGGCCTCCTGCTGGTGCCTAGAGTCTGGACTAAAATTGGGGAGTCAGCATTTGAGATTTATGCAGCTATAAACTCAAACAGGCATTGTTTACGTCTTATTTAACTATGCCTTTGACACATTTTTGAATCTTTTATGTTTTCATTTTTCAACTTTTAACTTTTTTGCTGAATTTTTAATACAATATGTTTCACTTATGTTGCATTTGGGTTACACTGTTTGAATTGAGCTTTTTAAATTAATTACCGATTGATTTTTTGAAAGCCTTAGTGTATGGGTCCAATGCAGAGGACAAATTTCCCTACGGGGCCAATAAAGTGCCCTTTTTTTTATTAATTTTTTAATTGATTGATCTCTGTAATTTTGTATTTTCAGTGCCTACATTCAGTGTGTATTTACTTAAATCCCAACACTGACCAAGGTGAATTTGGTGTCCATTATGAGTGTATATGGCACATGGTCATGAACACTGAGCTGTGCTGTTGTTGCAGTGGCTGCGACAAGCTCTCGGTGGAACAGCTGTGCGTGACACCAGCCCTCTCTGATTGGAGCGCGTCCTTGGCTATGACCTTGCTCTCCCTCTGCCCACGGCGCCGGAACCGTGTGACGCACAACGATCAATTTGAGCTGCCGAGGAAGCGAGCATATGGTAAGACGTGATTTACGCACGAACAAGAACAGATTCCCAATACATGCGTGCCTCGCCAACCCCAGCCCCCAATTCGCAAAAACAAACAAACAAGCACTTACATAAATTATAACGTACCGGCGCCTTATATTTGTGGGGAATTAATTGAAGTGTGCTGCAGGATAACAAAGACTGGATTGAGAAAGCAGGGAAAAGGATGGAGGGATAATTTCATTGTTCAAGAGATGGATAAATGTAGAAGTATGAGGAGTTTTTGGGATTTTTTGTTTATTTCAATTGTGGGTTAGGGTTACAATACACAGCATAATACAATCACATTTCAAATAATTGTAAAATAAGAAAAAATATTGATAATGGACTGCAGCACTCCTTCATTATTCTTTTTATTTTTTTACATTATTATTTTTTTATTAACATATTTATTTTCTCCATATTTTGAATCATTTCATCATTTCATTGCTGCTGCTTTGCTTTTATTTTTTTTCTCCGAACTTGGTTTATTGGATTTTTCAAGACAATTTACAAGATGTACATACCATACAGAAGAGGAAAAAAAGGATACATTCTTTGTAAATATCTTCTGTAATTATAACAAAACAAAAATAAAATTAAAAAAAACAAAAAAAACTGCATTATTCGCCATTAGAGTGCCATAAAAATGAAAGATGAATTAAGTTAACAAACAGAAAGAGGGACCTCCAGGAAAGTAAAATATTAATAATATAATAATACACATTTAAAAATCTAATAAAGAAGAATCAAAAAGTGTCGTACTAATTGAAACAGTGCTGCTTTGCTTTTCTTCTTAAACATGTGGACGCTTGCAGATCTTTTTTTTATTTCATATTCAAGTTGATTCCACAGTGGACTCAGTTCCACTCAGGCCACTGTGTTTCCCATGAGTTTCTGAGTGGTTCTGGCAAAAGAGACAGAGGAGTGGAGCTTCCTTCTGCTGTCCTGTCTAGAACCTCTAGAATAACATGAAAAAAACAGTAAGTAAAGCATTGTATGGGAAGATGAATGAGAAAGGATCCCAAGCACGGGAACTGTGCTACTAACTTCCTGACTGTCCTTACCTCCTCTCTTTCCATCTGCTTAAATCACTCACACATGGTTGAAGCTGAACGCTCTCCACCTTTCTTAAGCAGATTCTCTTGTACGTGCTGTAAATCCATCATACACATCTCCACAATGGGACGAGTGATATTTGAATCCCCTGATGCGCCCTGACATTTCACCTTCCATCACGCGGAAGCAGAGGTGGGGTCAGCAAGGCGTGGGGTGGGGGTATGCTTTGTAGTTCTGGGATAGGCTTGTTATGAAAGTGCTGTCTGACTGCACTGGTCCTTCCTTACGCAGAGGTCAAACCAGCTGCAATCCAAGCCGCAATAGCTATGAATTGTGTTGTGGTTTATTGTGGATGAGCAATCTGAGATTATTGTGGACAAAGAAACCTCCGGTCAGAGGTTGCTTTGGTCAATGACTTGTGGCTTGTGAGTACAAACTCTGCTACACTAGGAATAATTCACAAAGTTGAAAGGTCACACAAATCTAACTGTATTCAAGATGGGTTGTGCAATGAGAATCATTTGGTAAAGATTCTATAAGTTGGTTAAGACTAGAGTGTTTTTTTTCTAACAGTTTCTACAGCTGGCATGCAGTCTTCTTCAGAGTGGTCATGTTCCTGAGACGTGTCTTGTCAGCTGTTCACAGTTTTCCCCCCTTGAGTATAAACCAGGACGAGGGGGCCTTTTTATTGTCACACACATGGAATTCGGTCCTTAAGAAGTCAGACTGGAAACTAAAGACTGAGTGTATGTCATTGTAATATTTAGACTCATCTATAGTGATACAATAGTTTAACAACATGAAACGGTGCACTTGCAAACCCAGTCGTCTTGTGGTTGCTAGGCTGTCCAAGCATTGCTGACTCAGACGGAAGAACATGCCATCCCATTATTTCACCTACATTTTTGACCAAAAAGCAGGGGCAAAATTATAGAAGACACCAAAAAATGATCCCAGGTTTTATTTTGGAACAGATACAGCACACTGATATTCAAAAACACTTCAAAAAGCTTTGCTGTAAATACTTTTATTCAGGGAGCCGTGGCCTAAGTGATTTCATGTGCTAATGCGATGGCTTCGACTGTCCCCACGGCAACGATGCTGTTCTCATTAGAGTTTCTTGTCATGAATGTTGCAGCCGCTGAATGGGATCGTTAAATACATCATCAAAGAGGTGGGGCCGCTCGCTCGCACTCGTTACCAGTTAAGATAACACAAAAAGCACCCAGTTTATGAGGAGATTACAGTGGCGTGGGGGTTACGCAGTCACTACGACATGAACTTTTGTTTTTTTGTAATTGCTAATGAATGTTCTGTATCTCCAAGTGAAATTACATATGCCACGAGTAAGGAAGTTTATCTTTTCTACTGCACATTTCTCCCATACTAAAGGTTAATTCATGGGTAACATTTTATATTGGCTTTTTGATTCATATAGAATTAGTAAGCTCTTTGGGAACAGATTCTGTTTTATTACAAATTAACGGCTAAGTGTGATCAGCTTCTGTTCCCCTGTTTTGTTTTCCACAAACAAATTATTGATGTAAATAGAGTAACAATCTTAAATATTATGTGTTTTTGTACTTTACTGAAAGATAATGAGCACACAATGTTTCCTATTGTGAACTGTAGTATTTATCTCATCAATTTATGGTAGAAAAGACCAGTTCTTCTGCTGTGGCACTTCACTAATAGCAGCCGATTTTAATTTACCGGTAGGCCGCCTTGTGCATATACTTGAAACATGTATTGTGACAAAATGTATGTTGTTAATGAAACATATGTCATGACAAAACTAGTTTAACACTTTTTGTACTAAAAATATTAGTTATCTGTAGGAACTTGTATTCTCAACATACAGGGTTTAAACACAAGAGGGCACTGTGCCCAATGCATCAGCCATTCAGGCTTCGGACTGAAAGCACAAAGAGGAAAACAGGTCTGTTTTTACAGTGTGTACTGATGTTGTAAATATCTCATCAGTATCATGATTTTTAAGAGTTTCCTCTCCTCAAAGTTCGGAACAAGATCCAGTTCAGACGACATTCAGTTTTTTTTTTAGAAACTTTTCACTCTTTCATGTTCATAATTAAAGTGTGTTAAGTTGGACGAATATTATAGTCAAATACTTTCCACTCGCTATCTCCAAATTTATTAAATGATGTGATTTGTCTAAATCTGCTGACGATTTAACATTAAACCTAACTATCTCCATGGAGATGATCAAGAGATGCCACCAGACGGATTAGGCAGGCTCAGTGGAGAGGCCACCCAAGTGCCTGTTTTTCACAGAAATGAATAATGAACAAATATACTACAGGATTCCAAATTATTTTCCTTAAAATATTCTTTTAATCTCTAATTAAAATTAGACAACACCTTGAAGGTTGTTGTTAAAAGTCAAAATAAAAGTGTTTGTGTATGGACATTTTATTCTACATATTATATGAATGAGATAAAACAGATTTTTTTGGTCTGTAAACAAAGAAGCCTGTGCTACCTTCCTTCTTTCCTGCACTGCTTTCTTCCATTCCACGTTTCTGTCCTTTTTATTTCCCTCCTGCTATGCCCCCTCCTCCTCCGCCTCCCCTCTCACCCCCCTCCTGTGGGATCATGGGAATTGTGCGAGTAGCGTGGCGTTCTGCGCTCCTGCCCGCGGCGCTCCAGGAGGAGGCGTGCGGTAATGACCTGCTCCTCTGCGCGCTCGCCATCATCGCCCTCACAATTAATTCCCGCCTCGCGTTCCCGTGTGGTAGCGAGGGGGGAGTGGTGATAGAGAGGGGGGGGCTGCCTCATTAGAGCTCCTTGTAATGTGTCTGGCAACGGTTCCCGTTCTGCCACTCGCGCCCTTCCACCGCTGCTCCCATGTTTGTTTTATAGACGCTTTTCCTCTCCTCGTGCCGTGACTGACACTGACTGTAAAAAAGTGCAGATGGTCCTATGTTTTTATCCATCAGGGATCCAGAAACACATGAATGCACATTTCAAACGCAGGCACATGGTAGGGAATTTTTCAGCAGGTTATCCTAGGTCCGGCTCACCTCGCTCTTGCAGCGCTCACAACAAACACAAATCATGGAAATGTCCCATCCACTGTCACATTATAATACCTTCAGAGCAGGTGCTGACATTTGGAGCCCCGGTAACGCCAAACTCCGGTCATATCCAGTGAACTCTGAATAGCAAGTGAAGCATGAACAGATGACAGATCCAAATTTAGGCTTTTTTTGTCCTAAAGCGTATTGAAATATTTATTTATATATTTTGCCAATAAAGCTAGTGTATCTGATTTTAAACAATAAGACACCTGAGACCCCAGGACATACTGTACTGTATGTTGGAACTCTGTCTCACAGCTGGCCTGGGATCAGACCAGTCTCTGCTCAGATTCAGATTCAGATTCAGTTTATTTGCCATTTGCCATTTGCTCAGACTGCGGCCCTGACCCGGCAACAGATTAAGTGTAAGGAAATGTATGGATTGCATCATCAAGTAGATGCACGTTCGGCCAACAGCTCTATAACAGCATTTCACTTTGGAGAGACCCAAGAGGGAAAATGCAGTTAGAAGTTTATTGATTGAGCATGTTTGGCTCCCCAGGCCCGGGAGAGATGCTGTTGAGCGCGGCGCTTGCTCGCGCGCATGATCCCCCCCGGGGCCTAGGCACTGGTGACGGCAGAGGCAGCAGGCGAGCACGCTCTGAAGAGAGAAGGAGGAGGTGGGGCGGCGGAGGCTTTGCAGACTTCAGAAGGCCGGGAAGTGGGCGTCTCCGGCTTTTAACTTGCTGTCCTGGTGGTTATTGGTGGATTGGATGTGGGCGTTTTGCTGGTGTAATGAGTAGAGGATGAGCAGGCTTGTAGCAGCAGCCGGGTCTACCACAGTGAATTTTCGCGAAGAGCTCCATTTCACTTTGGAGAGACCCAAGAGGGAAAATGCAGTTAGAAGTTTATTGATTGAGCATGTTTGGCGCCCCAGGCCCGGGAGAGATGCTGTTGAGCGCGGCGCTTGCTCGCGCGCATGATCCCCAAAAACGGGCAGAGTTATCTTTGCGCGCCGGGACGTGAGCGCTCGCTCACGATCAACCGGACGCTGCCTGGGACGTGAGCGCTCGCATCACGATCGATACCAGACGCTGTAGCAGAGTTGTCTTTAAGCGCCGGGACGTGTGCGCTCGCATCACGATCAACCGGATGCTGCCTGGGACGTGAGCGCTCGCATCACGATCGATACCAGACGCTGTAGCAGAGTTGTCTTTGAGCGCCGGAACGTGAGCGCTCGCATCACGATCAACCGGACGCTGCAACAGAGTTATCTTTGAGAAAGTGCGTGCCGCCACCAGAATCTTTATTGGATCACTTACTTTGCTTTGTATTGCTTTGCTGGGAGCTTACGAAGAAGCCAGTAGCCGTTGTGCAGCCAGGATGGCGGACGCGTCTGGCCTGATGTAGGCGGAGAAGGCCGAAGAGGAACAGCGCCCCAGCTGTTGCAGAGAGGTGTGGGGGAGCCCCAGCGAGGCCGTGCGCGTGGCAGCGCCTATCCTGAAGGAGTGAGCTGTGTAGAGCTGGGGAGATAATTTACAGAGGAGCAGTAGGGATCTTAGTTGAGCTCTGAACCAGGTTGCTGTCATGGGAAGAATGTCTGGAGTGAGAAATAGAGGTCCGTTAAACTCTCCTTTTTGCAGCGGAGGCGAGTGTAACGCATCATGGACCTGTAGGGGCAGAGAGATGTGTCCGAGCGAGCTGTTACTATATTGCAGGCTCCTTTGATCTTTGAATGTTTGAGATGAAGGTTGAAATGGTCAGGGGACATTATGTTGGGTGAAAAAGAGCGACCTTTGTTTAATGCTTCCACTACATCGAGATTATCACACATGACAGAGATCCTCTTTCTCTGCCACGTGTGATTCCACAGCGCGCAGGCCACGACCACTGGGAATTTTTCGTGTAGGGCAGAAGAGATGCTCCGGTGGAAAGTAGCGGCCACGGCTAGGCAAACCAATGGTCCTGGAAGAACCCCCAAAACCCACGGAAGGGTCAGCGTCCGTGTAGAAGCGGAGACCTGTAGGGGCAGAGACATGTCGGAGAGGGCCATTGATGTTTGCAGGCGCCCTTACGCTTAGAATCTTGGGTTGGAGAGTAGATAATCAGGATAGTAGGATGGTCGGGAAAGCCGTGTCTCGGACCGCATGAAGGTTGAGTGAGCAATGGTGAGACGCTTATGCAGAGAAGCCACAGAAGGAGAGCAGGAAGATGCTGCGAGGAGGGCAGACATGTACTTGGAAGATGAGCCGGAGTTCAGCGCCGCTGCAGGATGGGCAGCATGATGGGGAGCCTGCGATCAGAAGAGTGAAGACTACAGGTATGGATGCCTTTGATTAGGAGTCCGATTGACGGCTCAGCGCAGCTACTTGGCCAGCTGCATCTGATAGATCAGAAGATTAAGTAGAGAGATGAAGCACGACCGCCGAAGCGACCCTGGGAGCATAGGTGCGAGTCCAGCGCAGCGCGGCATATTCAGCCGGGCTGCATCCATTAGAAGCAGGATAAGCTTCTGAAAGAGTGGGTAGCAGCAGCTGCAGCATCTGTAGATAATAACAGCAATAATCCTGTATCAAAGCCACAGCAGTAGAATGTTGTTGTAGCTGTTCAGTGTTTCAGTAAAAGAGATGCAAGTGAAGAGAGATGTCAAAGTAAATGAAGCAGCAGCAGTAGCAGTATGAAGCAGCAGCAGCAGCAGCAGTTGCAGCATCCATAGATAATAACAGCAATAATCCTGTATCAAAGCCACAGCATTAGCAGGAGCAGTAGCACCACAATGCGATTCATACGAACAAACAGACGTGTCACGCCAGCGTGCGCCGCTTGTCTCCGTGAACCATACGTGTCTGAAAGAGCCGAGCCGTAGAGACAGGTGCCGCCCGGGAGCCCGCGGAGCGGCAGCGGCAGGAACAGCAGCAGCGGCACATGTAGTAGCAGGAGCAGCAGGAGCAGGCAGCAGGGACAGGCGGCAGCAGGAACAGGCAGCAGCAGGAGCGGCAGCAGGAACAGGCAGCAGCAGGCAGCAGCGGGAACAGGCAGCAGCGGGATCAGGCATCAGTAGGAACGGCAGCAGGGACCGCAGCAGCGGTGGTCAGAGAACCATGCCCATGGTTGTTTAAGAGCCTGAGGAAATAAATCAACCCGAATCCGAAACATTCCCATGCGAATAACAGATGTCTCCTGGAGCCATCTTGCTGCTTTGGTTATGGCAGATACGCATGAACGATCACTTTTCCATGCGTTCATTAGCTCCAACTCCACTTCAAACCCATTGCAGATTCACATTGGGCCCTTTTTCTTTCTGCTGCACTTTCAAAATGCAACAACTGCAGTTTAGTTACCCAATTTAATACTAGTGACCTAGCTATTTAAATGCATGGCCCCTCCTTCCTCCTGCAGATAGACGAATTTAAATACATTCATTTAACAATAGTGACCTGCGAGTAATAAGATTAATGCTGTAAAGATGGCGCCGTGGCAAGAGCTCTGGTGTGTGCCGTCTGGAGCACGATGGGGTAGTCTTTGCACATTTTTTCCAACGTGGTTTTACTGCAAGTGGCAGAACATGAATCTGAATTAATGCACATTGCTCCTCTTATATCCCTCAGACAATAGAGATTGATGCCATTGTCCCTCAGTTAGCTCAAACACGTGTGAAAACGGAGCCTGCAGACCAAGCACGGGGCGAAAACTGACGCCTGCAGTCAAGTGCGTAGGGCAAAAACCAGCCGCCTGCAGCCCAGACTCCGGGATTAATCCGTCCGCGGTCAGCACACTCACTGTACTCACATGCCAGGAGACTTTGGAAGCAACGGGACAACGCGGCACCGCCAATCGGAGGCAGGGACACGCACGGCACCGCCAGACCGTCTGCGCGCGGCAGCAGACCACGAGGAACGAGCAGCACAGAACCCGCGGAGGGGCCCCGCGGAGCAGCCCGCAGAAGAGCCCGCAGAGGAGGAGAGCAGTGGAGACACGCGAACCTCAGCAGGTGCAGGGACGCGGAGGAGGAGCAGACCACAAGCAGCCAGACTGAGGACAGCCGGCCACGCGCACGAGCAACACGTGAGCAGAAGCGACCCCTCCAGAACAACGCATGCATTTGCGAACAGGTGCGTTAGCGACATGCACCTTGCAGGCTTCAGAAGTTTGCAGACTTCAGAAGGCCGGGAAGTGGGCGTCTCCGGCTTTTAACTTGCTGTCCTGGTGGTTATTGGTGGATTGGATGTGGGCGTTTTGCTGGTGTAATGAGTAGAGGATGAGCAGGCTTGTAGCAGCGGCCGGGTCTACCATAGTGAATTTTCGCGAAGAGCTCCATATTTTTTCAGACACAAAAGAGTTGCAGCAACCCAGTATAGTATTATTGCAGCCTAGTTTTCTGTAGTATTATTGATTATGAAAACGATGCTAAAGCAATGCAAAATTCTTTTGAATATTGGTTAATCTGTCTTGTGTTTGTCAAGTGTTTGAATATTTATCTGCAATTGGTAAATGTGTCAAGACTACTGCTGCGGTTGTAGAAAAACACAAACCTTTTAATTTTTTTAATTACTCCATACTTAAAGTATTTTTTTTACATTGATACATGTAAATAAAATGATTGACAGGTTTTCAACTGCATCTCGTCTATTTCCCCACGGTTCCAAAAAAGTTTAAAATATGGACTAATACAAATTGATGTATAAGATTATAGATTATAGATCTCTTACTGTACAATACTACTAATTATTGCAGATCTGTTTTTTTGTTGTTGTTGTTAGA